GAAGAATAACACGAGTTGACCCTTCCTCAGGACTCAGTTCAAATGTCACAGCCTCCACAGCCTGTGGGTGAAAGTGCTCTCTGAGCAACTCACCTTCAAAAACACTAAGCTCACTTTGTGGGAGACTTTCCTCAGCCTGCTTTCTACTATAATTATTTGTGTACAGAGCTGATCGGCCCTTCAGAATTTTAAGCTAGATGAAGGCAAGGTTTTGTCTTTCCTATCTTTATATTATCACAGTTGTCAGCACAGAACCTGGAACATTTTAGATATTCTGTTTCTTCTCTTTTTTTTTAGTTGAATTAGCCATTTGAGTGAGTTAAGTTACATAACTATATTTTAAACCCAATGCTAGTTTTGAAACATATTTTATAGTTTTGCCAACTAGTTAAAAGAATTAGATTGTATACATAGATAACATGGGAAAATTCAAAATATTGTAGATTATAGTATTGCATTTAACCAACAACAGAATAGTTCTGAGAATAGCTAATGTGAAATGTAGCTTGTTTGTCTCATGGGCACAACTGATGTATTAAAAAAACAGAAATCAATTAACATTTATATTACTGTCCTGATTCATTCATACTATGGCCTTGCATGAAACATTCTGTATGTTTGTCAGTCATTACAGTAGCTGATGGTATCACACCCGTGATGTTTACCAACTCAGTGACATGAAGAAAGGAGCACAGGCCTTCAAGGGCCAGCAGTGTGTCTTGTGAATCCTAGGGCAGTAATTTCTGAGCCTCAGTATTCCCACTGGTAAAAGCAAATACAGTCATACCCCAGAGATATTGTGGGTTTGGTTAAGGACCACTGCAATAAAGCAAGAATCACAATAAAGTGAGTCACACAAATTTTTGGTTTCCGAGTACATCTAAAAGTGATGTTTACACTACACTGTAGTCTATTAAGTGTGCAATAGCATTATGTAAAAAAAAAAAAACAGTGTACGTAGCTTACATGAAAATACTTTATTGCTAAAAGTCACTAACCATCATCGCAGTCTTCAGCAAGTCATAGTCTTTTTGCTGGTGGAGGGTCTTGCCTCAATGTTGATGGCTGCTGATTGATCAGGGTGGTGGGTGCTGAAGGTTGGGGCAGCTGTGGCAATTTCTTAAAATAACACAACAATGAAGTCTGCCACATCAATGGACTCTTCCTCTCATGAACAATTTCCCTGTAGCGTGCAATGCTGTTTGATAGCATTTTACCCACAGTAGAACTTTCAAATTGGAGTCAATCCTCTCAAACCCTGCTGCTGCTTTATTAACTAAAGCAGCAACTAAAGTTTATGTAATACTCTAAACCCTTTGTTGTCTTTCAACAGTCTTCACAGGATCTTCACTAGGAGTAGATTCCATCTCAAAAACCCACTTTCTTTGCTCATCGATAAGAAGCAACTCCTCATCCACTAAAATTGGATCATGGTATTACAGCAATTCAGTCATATATTCAGGCTCCACTTCTAATTCTAGTTCTTTTGCTATTTCCACACTTCTGCGGTTACCTCCTCCTCTGAAGTCTTGAACCCCTCAAAGTCATCCACGTAGATTGGAATCAACTTCTTCCAAACTCCTGTTAATGTTGATATTTTGACCTCTTCCCATGAATCATGAATGTTATTAATGGCATCTAGAATGGCGAATCCTTTCCAGAAGGTTTTCAATTTACTTTGCCCAGGTCCATTGGAGGAATCACGATCTATGGCAGCTATAGCATTACAAAATGTATTTCCTAAATAATAAGACTTGAAAGTCAAAATTACTCTTTGATCCACGTGCTGCAGAAGGGATGCTGTGCCAGCAGGCATGAAAACAACACTAATCTTGTTGTACATCTCCATCAGAGCTCTTGGGTGATCAAGTACATTGTCAATGAGCAGTAATATTTTGAAAAGAATCTTTTTTTCTGAGCTGTAGGTCTCAACTCTGGGCTTAAAATATTCAGTAAACCATGTTGTAAACAAATGTGCTGTCATACAGGCTTTGTTGTTCCATTTATAGAGCACAGGCAGAGTAAATTTAGCATAATTCTTAAGGGCCTTAGGATTTTCAGAATGGTAAATGAGCATTGACTTGAACTTCAAGTCACCAGCTGCATTAGCCCCTGACGAGAGAGTCAGCCTGTCCTTTGAAGCTGAGAAGCCAGGCATTGACTTCTCCTCTGTAGCTATGAAAGTCTCAAACAGCATCTTCTTCTAATATAAGGCTGTTTCATCCACATTGAAAATCTGTTATTTGGTGTAGCCACCTTCATTAACTATCTTAGCTCGATCCTTTGGATAACTTGCTGTAGCTTCTATATCAGCCCTTGCTGCCTCACCTTGCACTTCTGTGTTATGGAGACAGCTTCTTTCCTTAAACCTTGTGAACCAAGCTCTGCTGGCTTTAAACTTTTCTTCTGTGGCTTCCTCACCTCTCTCAGCCTTCAGAGAATTGAAGAGAGTTAGGGCCTTGCTCTGGGGTAGGCTTTGGCTTAAGTGAATGTGCTGGCTAGTTTGATGTGCTATCCAGACCAGTCAAACTTTCTCCACATCAGCAATAAGACTGTTATGCTTTCTTATCATTTATGTGTTCCTGGAGTAGCACTTTTAATTTCCTTTAAGAACTTTTCCTTTGCATTCACAACTTGGCTCACTGTTTAGCATAAGAGGCCTAGTTTTAGCCTGTCTCAGCTTTCCACATGTCTTCCTCACTAAGCTTAATCATTCCTAGTTTTTGATTTACAGTGAGAGACATGCAACTCTTCCTTTCACTTGTACACTTAGAGGTTATTGTGACATTATTTATTTATTTGTTTATTTTTTATTGAGATAACATTGGTTTATAATAGACAGCATGCTCCGTGACATCAGTCTTAGCAATATCTTTTCAGATATGCCTCCTCAGGGAAGGGAAAACAAAAGAAAAAATAAACAAATGGGACTACATCAAACTAAAAGGCTTCTGCACAGCTAAGAAAAACATCAACAAAATGAAAAGACAACTTACTGGCTGGGAGAAGATATTTGCAAATCATATATCTGGTGAAGGGTTAACATCCAAAATACATAAGGAACTCATACAACTCAAAAACAAAAAAACAAACAACCAGATTAAAAAATGGGCATAGGATCTGAACAGACTTTTTTCTAAAGACATATACAGATGGCCAACAGGCACATGAAAAGAGATTCAACAACACTAATTATTAGGGAAATGCAAATCGAAACTACAATGAGATATCACCTCATTCCTGTGGGAATGCCTATTATTTAAAAAAAAAAAAAAAGAAATAACAAGTGTTGGAGAGTGTGTGGAGAAAAGGGAACTCTTATAGACTGCCAGTAGAAAATTAAATTGGTGCAGCCACTATGGAAAATAGTATGGAGTTTCCTCAAAAAATTGAACATACTACCCAATCAAAAAATGGGCAGAGGATATGAATAGACATTTTTCCAAAGAAGATACACAAATGGCCAACAGGTAGAAGAAAAGATGTTCAACGTCACTAATCATCAAGAAAATGCAAATGAAAACTATAATGAGATATTACCTCACACCTATTAGAATGGCTATAATTACCAGGACAAAAAATAATAAATGTTGGAGAGGATGTGGAGCAAAGGGAACTCTCATACACTGTTGATGGGTATGAGAACTGGTACAGCCACTATGGAAAACAGTATGGAGAGTTTTCAAAAAACTAAAAATTGAAATACCATATGACCCAGCTATACCACTACTAGGTATTTATCCAAAGAATTTGAAACCAACAATTGAAAAAGACTTATGCACCCCTATGTTCATTGCAGCATTATTCACACTAGCCAAGATGTGGAAGCAACCCAACTGCCCATCCACTGATGAATGGATAAAGAAGATGTGGTATATATACACAATGGAATACTACTCAGCCATAACAAAAGACAAAATCGTTCCATTTGCAACAACATGGTTGGAACTTGAGTGTATTATGTTAAATGAGATAAGCCAGACAGAGAAAGACAAATACCATATGATTTCACTCATATGTGGAAGATAAACAAATACATAGACAGAGAACAGATTAGTGGTTATCAGAGGAGAAGGGGGTAGGGGGGTGGGCATAAGAGGTAAAGGGGCACATATATAAGGTGACTGACAAATAATAATGTACAACTGAAATTTCATAACGTTATAAACTATTATGACACCAATAAAAACATTAAAAATAGAAATATCATATGATCCAGCTATTCCATTGTCGGGTTATTAACTGGCCTAACTGCAATATCATTGAGTCTCAGAGAATGAGGAGGCCTAAGGGGAGGGAGAGAGACATGGGAACAGCCAATTGGTGGAGGAGTCAGAACACATATAACATTTATTGATTAAGTTCACCATCTTATATGGGCGCAGTTCGTGGTGCCCCAAGACAATTACAATAGTAGCTTCAAAGACCACTGATCACAGATCGCCACAGCAAATATAACAACAATGAAAAATTTTGAAATATTGCGAGAATTACCAAAATGTGACACAGAGACACGAAGTGAGCAAATAAATGCTCTTGGAAAAATGGTGTCAATAGACTTGCCTGACGCAGGGTTGCCACAAACTTTCAATTTGTAAAAAACGCAGTGTCTGTGAAGCGCAATGAAGTGAAGCAATAAAATGAGGCAAACCTGTATATATATTAGATATGTATCTATGATACCTATGTAACATAGCATATAAAGATATATTACATATATGTATAATATATTACATAATTATAATATATTACATATGTGTGTATATATATATACACACACACATATATATCTCTCTCTCTCTCGAGGCGCTGAAGTTAGTCAGTGCCCAGAACTGTAATCTCTTTTGTGACAAATTACAGTTATTCAGGAAACAGATATCCTTCTTCTTAAGCTAAGTTCAATAGCAGGCCATTTTTTATTTCTTCATTTGTAATAAAGCCCATCACCATGCTTCATCCTTAACAATAAAGTGAGGGGAATAATTAGGAGTGGCACTCACCGACTTGTGTTTGTATAAAGAATTTTAGACCTCCGAGGGTTGGCTAGAGATGTGATGTCTCCATAGGGGTTGTCAATGTCATCAGCATTTGTAGACTGCACATAACCACTGTTAGGGCGAAAAGAAGATGACATGTGTTTCCTCAAGAAACATAGAAGAAATAGATAAACAGTGTCCTAACTTCCATAGGAAATCTTTTTTGCCAAAATAGATAAAAAACTGAAAATGCAAAAAGATAACCATGATGATGGAAAAATTTGCTTTAAAAAAAAAATTTAAAAAGGAGATTTTTCCCTTTTTCAGAGGAAGAGTTGCCAGGCTCTTGTGATTTCAAGTTTGGGCCAGAGTGAGGAGAACAGCTGGTTTGTGTTTTTGAGCAAAGAAACGGACTGTTTGTGCAACCCTGGGACAACTCCTTCACTGGAGACGGAGAGGAGGCCTGAGGTGAGGCAGAGACTTGTATCTGCCGGAGTGAATTGGGCTCCTGTGGAGACAGAAACGCCCAGGGATCTTGAGCACCCAGCGATGTGCCTTTGGGGGGCTGAGAGAAGGCTGCGTCAATATCAGTCAGAGAGTGTCCCTGAGGCACTTCCACTAGTAGAAAGACTTATCAACCCTATTCTAGAGCAGAAGGGGCAACAGTAATGGGGGTGGGTGCAAAGACTAAGGGCTCAGACCCCTCCATTCTCTTAGATTTACTTTGTCCCAAGGTACTATGATCTGAATGTTTGTGTCCCCTTAAAATTCATATATTGAAATCCTAATACCCAAAGGTGATAGTATTAGGAGGTGGAGGTATTAGGAGGTGGGAGGTGCTTAGGTCATGAGGGTAGATCCCTCATGAATGGGATTAGTGTTCTTCTAGAAGAGATCCCACAGAGCTCCCACGCCTCTTCCACCATGTGAGGATACAACAAGAAGTCTGTGACCCAGAAGACAGCCCTCACCGGACCGTGCTGGTACCCAGATCTCAGACTTGCAGCCTCCAGAACTGTGAGAAATAAATACATAAACCCCCCAGAGTGCAGCATTTTGTTATAGCAGCTTTGAGCAGACTAAAACACAAGGTTATTCTTCAACCTAAAGCAGATAAGACCCCCAAATGGTGGACGATGCACGTCTTTGCCATCCATAGAAAGCCAGATCTAAATTTTAAAAAGTAAGAGGATACATTTCCTGCACTTCACTGTCAGCGAGCACATCTCATCTTCCGCATCAAGTATTCAAGGCTTTCCGGCTGACTACATCCAATGGTAGTAGCATCCAAGGTATTTGATTTCATAAAATAACCAATTTGGGAAAACAGAAAAATACCACTCCCCCTTTTCTTCTTTTATCAAAATCTTTAACAAACCTTTGATGAAAGTCCTGACACTAAACAGACATTGTGCTAGGAAACATTAGAAATCTGTTAGAAAGCATAAGTTGTCTTAAAAAGTGAATTATAAACATGAGTGAGCTGAAAACAGCTACAATTTAGATGTAAATCTAGTAATTTAAAAACATTAAGAAGCATTACTTACGTATAGAGAGGAATGTATCTACTTCTAGAACTTGGACTCACACTTAGAAAAAGAGAAAATATGGGTGATTGCGTTATTGACATTAACTTAAACATCAAATTATTACAGCATTTCTCTTATTGAAATAAAAAGTCTTCAGTCTCATAGGAATTGGCCTCCAAAAGTTTGTAATTTTAAACAGAAATGATTTAAAGTTGTAGTTTTAAGTGAAAATAAAAGCAGAACAAATTGACTCCAAACTTTCGTGGACACATGTCTTTGTTGATTCTCTTGTGATCTAGCTCTATTTCAAAGCCTCTCCTCTTGGGTTTTTCTTTTGCTGTACACTTCCTTAGTGATTAGACCTGCAATATTTGGCAAAGTTGAACCTCTTATTTTCTTAGACACACAGAATTTTCACATGCGAGTGGATCTTACTGACCATCCAGCTTAATTCTCCCTGGCAGAAAGGAAGCAGCTGTAGCACAAAGTTCAGTAACTTACACAAGATCACAGTTATTTAGGGCATTTCAAGGAGCTCAGGGTATATTTACCCCTGTTCTGGCCCTAGAATCAGCCATTTCTCCAAGGATCTCCAAATTTCTTTTACTGGAGAATGGTCTTTTAAAAACAACGTCTGGGTGCTAGATGTGCTGGTGGCTGCTGGGGTGTCCCTGCTTCTAGGCCCTCTCAGCGGACAGAGCTGGGAATATATGGATGTATATGAACCCATGTATACGACCCCACATATCTCTACATATTTCTGTATGTACGCTCTGTGTATTTATTAAAACACCTGAGAGTTCATAGGATATCTTCTAATCTAATCCAGCGCCACAGGGTTTATTCTTAGCCTCTCTCCTTTACTTATTTGTAACTTCCTTCTCTGACAATGTGAAATCTGCCTCCTATTATCTACCAGAGATTTATTTTTTGGTTCAAATCTAGTATACATGTAATAAGTTTTGGAATTGCCAACTCATTTCTCTGTGAGAAACACATTTACCAACTAGATTATAGTGCTTATATATAGTTCTTTTTGTCTTTAGCCTTACAGTATTCAGTCAAAATATAAATTTTTCCAAATTTATTTAGATCCAAATTTATTTAAGGACACTCTTTTTTTTTTTCCATCCAGCTAAGTGTAATTATGTCATTTATTTGTAACACAGGTTCATTTGTCGAAATCTGCATTCCATGCTAGATTCCCCCATCTTCCTGGTAGATTTTTATTTACTTATTTATTTTTTACTTTGCATTCAGTAAAATTCATTCTTTTCGGTTTTACAAATGCAAAAAGTCATGTGCCCACCACCACAGAACCATACAGAACAGTTCCATCATTGTAAATTTTCCATTTACAGACTCTTTATATTCATCCCTTTTCTTCTCCCCAAACTCTTGGCAGCTCTTGATCTATTCTCATCCCTATAGTTTTGCCTTTTCCAGAACGTCATATAAATGGAATCATACAATAGGTGACCTTTTGGGTCTGGATGCTTTCATTGAGCAAAATGCATTTAGGATTCACCCATATGTTGTGTGTTGCATTTCTTTTTCATTGCTGAGTAGTATTCCGTTGCATGGGTATACTCTAGTACATTTATCTGATGTAGGTTTTTCCATTCACATGTTGAAAGATATCTTGGTTGTTTCTAGGTTTTGGAGATTATGAATAAAGCTGTTATAACAGTCGCATATAGGTTTTTGTGTGGGTTCCTGGGAGCAAGATTTGCATACAGCAAGACTCCAGGGTGAGCAGTACCCTCAGGGGTTCTACAATGTGGTAGTACTGACTAAGACATATAGCTCTCAATTCATCAGATGAATATACATTAAAAAAATTAATGCAATGGATCCATATAAACAGAAATAAAAAATTTATCATCTAGGTGAGCTATTTAGTATTTTACCACGATATGTAAATAAAAAGATGCTAATAAAATTTTTTCATTAGCACTAACATAATATTAGGAGGTAGTACAAATAATTTACATCTTCTTTTTTAACAGATATTTGAATGAACTTATCAACAATTTCTGCTTGTTGTGTTTATAAGAATCTTGTATTTTTGAATGTATACATTGGGATCTATTATTTATATTGGGGTGTCTTACACATTTGGCAAAACCATCTTTTAAATAATTTTTATCAAAAATTTCACACATTATTTTTAGAATATGGCTCAATAAAATCTACTTACTAACGACTCAATATTTTTCTCAATATTGTCACTGTTTGCAATTTCAGATTCAGCAGTTAAACTTGATAATGATTTTGCATATTTCCACTTCATTATTCTTTTTTCTTCTAATAATAAAATAAAAATCCTTTTTTAAAGGACAATTTATGCTGGTTCTATTGAAGTGGTACAATTGTCAAAGTTTTGAAAAATGTTGTCTTTGATATTATTTTTTCATAATTAAATTTATCAAAAACTCTCATTAATTTTGCTGACTGCAGACAAAGGTCTCCTGCATTTTGCTTTGCAATTAATTGTGATTAGGTAAATATAAAATTAAATGTACAAGATTAACCCTCCCCTTGAAGTGATGATCAAACTGACCATCATCAAACCAGATAATCAGAAGAAACTCCAGTGAACAAAAGATGGAATAATCTCATTGTGGACAGCATGTGTCTTTCTTATGCATTATCTATCTGTCTGACACTATTCTTCATAATTGGCTGCAGTATTTGTTGCAAAATATACAGTTCTATTTAAAGTTCCATGTGATTCATTCTTCTATTTTCTATTCTATTTATTTTTTGCAAAATGCCGGTTGTGACTCACCAGTAATGGTTTGCAACCAACAGACTACAAACTACCCTTTAAACTAATTAGTAAAGTCTACTCTTTAACCTGGACTAGGATAATTGCTTAATCATGTCAAGAAAATGGATCCCCAGCTGTAAATGGACTGTAAGCAAGAGTTGATTGCAAGTGGTTTAAGAGATAAATGTGAAAAGCAAAACTTTAAATATTTTAGAAAAAAAGTAAAGAACGAGAATATCTTTATTACTTCTGGGTGGGAAAAGATTTATTAAAAACTCCACACGAATAACAAGATGAAGGAAAATATTGAGGAATTCAGTTATATTAAAATTCAAAACTTCAGTTCAGCAAAGGGTACTATAAAATAGAAAAGTCACAGACTGGAAGGAAATACTTTGATACATATTATCAATAAAGGATTTTCATCCAGAATAAGAAACATAAAAGTTTCTATAATCAATAACTAAAAGACCAACAGCTCAAATGCAAAAGAGGCAAGATATATGAATGGGCAAGTCACAGATGTGAAAACCCAAATGAGTCATAACTTAAAAAATGTGATTATTACTGATCAGGTAGATGAAGTTAAAATTATAATAAAGTACAGTTTCATACTCATAAGATTGGAATTTTTTTAAATTTGAAAGTTCCAAATGCTGACCACAATGTGCAGTAGTGGGAACTCAAGCACTGCCGATGGGAGAGTCCATTGGTAAAACTCATTTGGAGAAGAATGTGCAATATCTAGACTCTAAAGTAGTGCACACCTCTTGCTGCAGCAATTCTAGACATAAGTATGTATATATAAACCCCGGAAATATTTTTATACTAGGGTATGTGAAGATATGAAGACATTGTTTCCAATTGCAATAAGAATCAGAAAAAAATTAAATACGAGAATGGATGAATTAAATTATAGCATATCCATTCAATGGAAGACTATACAGCAGGGAAAATGAACAGCTAGAGATACAGATGCCAACAGGTATGAATCTCACAAACACAATACTGAACAAAATGTTAAGTTGAATAAATAAATGTAGAATACCACTTATACTGAGTTTATAAACATGGACTAGAATACCACATATTGGTTAAGAATAACACATATGTTTTCAAGGAATAAAGGGGTGCATGAAAATGTGAAACATCACATCTAGAATAATGGTGATCCATGAGGAAGGTGCATGTGCTTAGAGAGAAGTACATAGGGGCTTCCATTGTGCTGGTAATGCTTTATTTCTAAAGCTGGGAGGTAGACACACAGATTATATCATATTGTTATGTATAGCTTTTGTATATATGAAATATTAAAAAATAACTTCAAAAAATTTAAACAGAGATGAATACCTGGATTGTGAGTTGCAGTGAAAACAAAAATAAAGAGACAAAATGGTGACATTTTTAAAGGCAGAAACACCAAAGTTTTTTAGACTAAATGCACAAAATTACATATATGGAAGGATTAGTAATAAATCCATAGTTTCCAGCATTAATAGAACACAAAATACATATATGATACAAAAGTTCATAGAAAATAATTTATAATACCTTGAATTCCATGGATTTTGTAACATTGTAACTCTTCCTGTCAAATTATTTATACAGCACTCATTTTTAAATGGTTATAGTATATTTAATAGTCTAAATTTTAAGGAGGGTTAAGAGAAAAAAAGAGAGAAAGCAGGCAACAGTGAGCAATTGAGCTGGGATTTGGGTTCTCTTCCCAGTCACAGGGATGGAAGTCTGAGGGCCCCTGGAATTCTCTCCAGAGGATATACCCCTCACCCCTCCCTCTAACCCATGGGCTAGATAGAGCATCAGATTCTTAATGATAAATATGTGATAGTGAAAAAAATCTAGTGATGAGAACATTAGGAGATAAAACTTACAAATTAACTGGTTTGACTGGTGCCAAGAAAGATCTTGTTTGAAATCTGTCCCAGAGTCCACCAACCATCTAAAATCATCATCAAAATGAATGACAGATATTTAATGAACAGGTTACTGTAATTTCTAGTGTATAAGCTCCAATTACTGTAATTTCTAGTATATAAGCTCCAGTGCTCTTAACAGTCCTTTCCGCATCATAAGCAAGCACCAGGCTCCCAATGAAAAGCATTCCCCAAGCATCCTTAGCAAATCAGGGGTTTGATCCTGAGCCACTCCTGGTCTCCGCTCTGCTCTCAGACCCTCAATTTCAGTTTGTTTTCTCATAGCTGGAATCTGACTCACTATCAACTTCCTTTGAATTGAAGCCCTTAGGAAAGGTCTGATTTTGGTTTTCATCCTAGAGACTATGCTTATTTGGATCTACCTTAGCCCATCCTCTGCAGCCCCAGGCCAGACCTGAGCTTTGAACCTCATCTTGCCGGGAAGGACATTGGATACCAGTATAATTTAACGCCAAAAAACATGTAATAAAATGACCAATTTTCACAAGATATAAAAATATGTTAGAGTAGTTGAGAGACCCTTAAAAAATAGTTACAAGAATCTAGGCACGTTTTTGTCCTTTAATTGATTTTAATTTCTATGTGCAAATCCCATGCTGAGATTTTGTATTACAGCTATATTTTTCCTCTCATCATTTTTCTCTGTAAAAGCTGAAAAAGTTTTTCAAAATAATGTGGACTTAACTTGTGGTTCATGAACCTCTTAGGAGTCCATGTTTAGAACTGTATTTCAATATAATTTCATAGTTTTCCTTTTTAGTCCTATGTATTTTTTATATATTAAAAAACTCCATTATGAGAAGTAGTCCCAGGAACTGTCAGACTTCTAAGGGATGCGATATGGCACAAAAGAATGAGACTCAATGGAAGTAGAAGTTGCTTTGCAAGCACAGAGCACGAACATCTAAACCAATGTTGGGAGGTCTAAAATAAGCTCTGAAGGATTCTTGGAATTTAGCGTGGAAAAAATAGAGTGATAAGGCAGTGGAACGCTACTTGCAAAAGACAGACTGAACAAGAACATGGCCGACTTGAGGATTTGAGAGATGTTCAGCATAGAATGCAATATGACATAATACAGTGTGGAGGCTGATGTTTGGGCGGTAGGGTGAAAGAGGAAGAGGGTGAGACAGGGGGAGAGATGAGGCTGAGGAGGGGGTCATGGGCAGATAACAGAGAATTGGGTATGTGTCATGTCAAGGAGTATGAATTTTACTTTATAAAAAGGGATGGGTTTTAATCAGTGGTGTAACATGAAGAGATTAACACTTTAGGACAAGTGCCCTGGCTGTGGTGTGGATACCATAATCCATGATGAATTCTTGATGTTCAGAAATGAAAAGAATGGACATCTCTACAGGCAAATAATTGTGCTTTGTGGTTAATGGATTTTCCCATTCTGCCTTGAAAAGCGCAGAAGTAAGTTCTAGATTCAATTTCAAGAACTATTCTCAGCTTAGGATTTCTGGTGGAATCATAATCATTTATCCGTGTCTTTTCATCATTTACTCATTCTTTTGCAATTGTTAAAGTAAACACAGCCATTGCAAATGACTTTTCAAGAAGGTTGTCTTTAACTAAAAATTTTATAATGTCAATATTGGATAATATAAAAGTATTTGAGGTTATTGACGATTTTTATGATTATGGCACTTTCAGTTCATAAATGCATATATTTACCTGTTCTCTCCATAATTCTTAACAATAAAATAAGTATTGTTGTGACTTAACGTTTCGGAGTTTACTTCAGTAATAAATGCATTGTCGCCTGGGGATGTTCACCGACCTGAGTTATTGCTGGCATGTTTTCGTATCTCTTCAGTGTAAAACACTGTGAGATGAGGTCAGCAGCTTTTTCCACTGTTGTTTCTTCTGGACTGAGTTTTGGTGGTAGCCTCTTGTCCCAAGGAACAACTTCATAAGCTCTACAAAATTATTAAATAATGACATTTTATGAAAAATCCATATTCAATGAGTATAGGTCATAAAAATATCATATACTATGGTAGGCAGAATTCTAAGATGTGCCCCGAGATTCCTGCCCCTGGTGTACACACCGTACTTAATCACCTCCCCTCAGGTGTGAGCAGAACAAATGAACATGATAGGATATCACTCCTGTGACACTTTATATGGCAATCTTATATGGCTAAAGGGATTGTACACATGTAATTAATGTCCATAATCAGTTGAATTTGAGTTAATCAAAAGGCGGATTATCCTGAGTCTGACCTAAACAGGTAAGTCCTCAAAAGAGACAAAATCAGCAGCAGATGCTCTTCAGCTGTCCTTAAAGAAACAAATCGCATGAGCCCTACAGCTGCGATGAACTGAATTCTGCCAACAATCCAAATGATCTCGGAAGATGAGGACCCAACCTCAGCTGACACCTTGATTCCGGGTGAGAAACCTTAAGCACTGAATCCAGTTGGGACATGCCTGGACTTCTGACCCACAGAACCATGAGATAATATGTGGGTGTGGTTTAAAGCTGCTAAATTTGTGGTGATCTGTCACACAGCAGTAGAAAGCTAACGCATGTACTTATATACATCTTAGAGGTTACAAAAAAAATTCATTTGACCTTTGCAGCAAGGCAGGAAACCCATTAATTTACAAATAAATAAACTATGGCTTAGAGAATTGAATAGGTTTGCTTCAGGTCACTTAGCTATTGATGGTCGAAGTCAGGACTCAAATCCAGATGATTTTGCCTCTGAAGAGTCAGCAACATTCTTACTGTTCCACACCAATGCACACAAATTATAAAAATCTTGACCGTGGTACAAGGACTCCAACTATCTTAGTAAATGCAATAATTATATACATCCAAGGATTTGGATCTAAAGGTATCATCTTGTATTTGGAATTTTGAAAGTTGCTGTTCTTTTGGACAGACATACATGACAGGTGCAGTGAAATAGACTCCAATTTGATCCTGTATGACAAACAAACTTCCCTGATTCCAGTGACTGTGTTCTGATAGGACAGATGGACAGATGGCCTGTGCTCCTGCTGCCCCGATGCCGGATCCTGCTCTTGCCCTGTCCAAACGTGGTACTAACGCTGATCTTTCCGTTCTGTAAGTCAACCCTATCCTTTTTTTTTTT